GATCCATCGCATACAGTAGGCAAGAGTGAATCCACTGGTGGCACAGTTCAGCTTATGGGATTCTCCAGGTTTCTTCACCTCTCGATCTGACTTGGCCAGCACCACTTGCGAGAGGATACCTGGAAAAAGAAGGCGGGAGAGAGAAGAGATCTACTTAGGACAGGGTTAATCCAAAACACCCATAGCCATCCATCCAGTGAAGTTATACGTAATGTACAGTTACCAAAGTGGAAAATCCTGACATACTTGGGAAAGTGGCAGCCAGTGCAATGAGTATTGGCCAAAGGAGTTGCATTGTCGGAGGATGGGCTGGATCTCAGACTTTGTATGCTATGCCAGGAAGTCTGATTCTGATCAGATATGTTCAGGGTTTAAAAAGGAAGAAGTGGATCTGTTACTTTTGCATAAATCTATCAACAAACCCAGGGATAAGATGGATGCAGAACAAAAAGACCACAAAACCAAGATCCCAGAGCTGTTCTAAAAAGACCCAGAGCTATGCTTTTCAGCTGATTTCCTTACAACTGAATCTTGGCGCTCTTTACATTCTTTCTTGTGGTCCATGCATTGTCTCACTGTGCTTTGCAAACAGTTGTTTCAACACCTATGTAGTTCATTCATCTATTTATTTTGCTTGGTGCAGTTGTTCCGGACCCATAAATGTGTGTTTTTAAAGATGAAATGGAGGACTTCTTGGCATATTCTGCTGTCCATCCCAGGTATCGCTGAGATTTTGTTTCAGCTCATCCCTCCTTGCTATTTTTCTTTTGCTCACCGTTCTTTGCAGACAGTTGTTTAAACACCTCTAAAGGTTATATATATAGCCTAATGTAGTTGTCCCTATAAAGTGTATTTTCTAAGGTGAAATGGAGGATTTCTCACACATTCTGCAGTCCATCCTAGGTATTTCTGAGATTTTGGTTTGGCTCATCCCTCATCTCAAATTTTATCATATTTCAGGATTTGAAAATGGAATATTTTAAGTGGCAAAATCCATATGAGATAAATAAAAAGGGACCCATTTAGTATCATGATGTATTTGAATTCCTGTGTATTGTACTATATTGATGCTGAAACTGGGTTACTACCACCCTTACTCTCTCTCTCTCAAAGACTCTCCATTTTAGGTTGCTGTGAGACTCTCCATTTTTAAGCAATGTGGTAGGCAAATACTACAAGGGGGTCTTCATCATGGTCCTCCTTTTGAATTTGCAGGTGCAAAAGGGTGTAGAACTTCATTTCTCAACATTTTGCTAAAGACCATCTAGTGTATAAAATGAGTTGAAGGGAGGGTGACATATTCTTCTCCCTGGAGTCCTTCCTGGAGATGTCACATAAGTGTAATGGATGCATGTATGAGATGGAGCTTTACAAACAGAAGCATATTGCACACTTTAATATTGCAACACCTTTAATGACCAACTGAAATGAATAGTGCTTAGACGTGATCTGAATAGGTGGGAAAATTAGTTTTGAAAAAGTAGGGAATCCATGATGAATTGAATTAGATGTTTGAATCACAATATATAGCTAGACACACCTATGACCTCATCAGATGGCTGGTGGCTGCGGGTGGCGGCGCTGCTCTTAAGAGCAAGGCATGCAGCCCTTGTGACAAAATGAGTCATGTGTATTCACATTTGACCAGCCCACACACTGCCTTGCCAGAGAAAGAAAATATGCCACATAGAAGAATAATAAAGTACAAGTAGTTTACTCTTCGTAGTTCAGAACAACATATGTACAATCATGCGATCAGCCGCATTAACTCACATAATGTCCTTTCGGAGAGATTTAAAAAGGTCTTTCTTTGTCCATGTGGATAATCTCCTTCAACAGTTCATGAAGCAAGAGCACACTCCAAACTGCTTCTCTTTCTGCTTCTCTGTAAGCACTTGCACAGCTCAAGCCTGATAAATGTAACAGTATCCAAAAGTCCCAGGCTCAGCCATCTCCCCAGGCATTGCCCAGCCAATCAGCTTCATGAATATTATTTTACAGTTGTCACACACACACTAGCTGATTTCCTTTACATGCTCCAACAGCCCTCACCTTGCTTTGCCTCACTGGTTGGCAGGGTGATCTCATGGGGGGAAGCAAGGAGTGCATCTCTGGAGACTTTATTATAAAGTTATTTTAATCAAGGATTTTGCCTGATGTCTGCTCCAATGCAATAGACTGCAGTGTCTTCTGCTTTGAGGCTGTTCATTTGCAGATAGAAATTGGTGCTGCCCTTAGAGGCTATGAATCGCTCTTGGACTGTAGGGGAATCATTATTGATCGTAGCATCATAATACCGAAGAAGCTACTCTAATCCTTTGCTTGGTTTCAACCAGGTGCCTAGCTCTTCACATTTCCAACCTATTCTTATTCCTATCATCTTACCTCTCTTATCTCTGCTGTATTACTGAACCAACATTTCGAAATGACCATTTAATACAGAAGTTCTTCTCCTAACAATTAATAAAAATATATATTTCATCCAGGTGCATCTTTAATGTTCCTGTTAAGGAGAGTTAGCACTCTAAGGTCAAGATGCTTGTGCATATAAATGCCTTGTTGTGTTTTGCTTTCCTTAATTGTTACAGTATACAAGGGTTGAACAAAAGTAATGCCTCCATCTTTGTAACTCCTCAACAGATGGCAGTAGGTACTGGCTTGTCCAGTAGACTCTCCTCTACAGTTCCATTTTGGCAGGAAGCCTTAGAATTGAACAGTGGTGTTGTTAAAGTGCGAAGTATGGAACCCTGCGTCAATGCAACTTAAGCAACCTGCAGTCATTGAATTCTTGACAGCAGAAGGTGTCACCCCAAAGGAGATTCATCAGAGAATGCAAGCTGTTTATGGTGATTGTGTTGATGTGAGTACTGTGCATCGTTGGGCGAGTAAGTTTAAAGATGTTGAGGTGGGAACATTTGACTTGCGTGACAAACAAAGAAGTGGATGTCCTGTGCCAGCAACCACCGAGTTTCACAAGCAAAAGGTTGACAGATTGATTCAGGATGATCGTCGTATCACTCAGAGAAAAATTTAAGCATAATCGGCATTTCACAAGAACGTGTGTGTCCTTTATGCTTCTGATGAAGATGTTGAGAGAACTTTGATGATGCTGGTTGCAGAAACAGAATGTTGACTTCTTCCATGACGGCTTCAGAAAACTTGTTCATCGTTGGCAGAAATGTATCCAATTTGGGTGATTATGTGGAAAAGGAATAGTGTTAAAGAGCACATTCTAAGGATTATTTTTGCGTTTGATTTATTAAAATATTCCCATCCAAAGCCAAGTAACGAAGGTGGAGGAATTACCTTTCATTCAACCTTCGTAGATGGATCTGAGGATCTGACTTTTTGGTTATCTTCCTGTTCAGTTTCTTTCACTGTGCGCCTTACACAGTAATACACTGCAGAGTCTTCTGTTTTCAGGCTGTTCATTTGCAAATATAGCAGACTGTTCGAATCATCCCTGGAGATGATGAAGCGTCCTCTCACTGCATCCGAGTAGAGAAGGGGACTTGAGGATGTACCTATCTCTGCAACCCATTCCAGGCCCTTTCCAGGAGCTTGTCTCATCCAAAGCATGTAGTAGCTGCTGAACGTAAAACCAGAAGCTTTACAAGACATTAAAAGGGAGTCTCCAGGCCTTTTTAGACCCCCTCCAGACTCTTCCAATTTCACTTCCGATTTAGCATCTAGGAAAAGAAAACACATACAATTATACTTCATTCAGACTGAGGATGAAATGTAATACTCATCTTTTACTTAACAAAATAAAAAATACCTCGGAAAAGTGTGCAAATGAAAATGAAGTGAAGCCAAACTATCATATCTGCACTTCTTTTGGGAATAATAAAACAGGGAGTGAATAAAGCCACACAGTGTTGTGTCTACCAGCCTGGCTGAGTAGGAGGATTATATTCCAAACCTGAACCGGAAGGTACTTGCGTATTTGCATGTCTTGCCAAATAAAGCAGAAGGGCAAGCCTTCAGCGACCCACTCTATGAGCTTTGCAAAATGAGAATTACAGTAAGGAATAGGGAAAAATATTAATTCCACGTTACTTTATTGGAAGAAAAATGTTAAATGTGAATTCAACAAAACTTATCTGCTTAGCAATGGAAGGAACTGATTTCCATCCATGGTAGCTTGGAAAAAGAGCAAAGAGGTTAGATAATTTAAGTAATCTGGATCAGTGAATGTATTCATGGCAATTCTACCCACTCTACATATTTTTAGAAGGTGTGTGTGTGTGTGTGTGTGTGTGTGTGTGTGTGTGTGTGTATATATATATATATATATATATATATATATATATATATATGTTCAAGGATGAGAGTTAAGGCTGCCTCCACTTTCCACAGTGAACTGTTTTATGCCCCAGATTCTTAAGGAATTAGTTCATTAGTCACTGTCAACAAAAGAACTGCAGAAATAACGAGCCCAGCAGCTGAATGCATGCTTGCCTAACCAATGTTGACGTCTTTTAGGCACATGGGGTTGCCTATTTATTTTTCTGCTGTACTTCAATGGTGCCCTCTTGTGATAAGCAGAAGGAGAACAAGATTCAAGACAAAGCAGCAGTTAAAAATGATGATCATCTTGTTTCTGCCCTCAATTTCCCCCCAGCTACTCTAAGCTTTGTCCAAAAGGATATTATTGTAGACACATGCATCATAGGTTGCTTTGATGTGATATGTGCCATGAAGCAACCAAAGAA